CAAAATGCCAACTTCGGGTCAACTTTGACCCATTTTGCGAAAAAAAAATTTTTTTCTCAAGAAATAAGACTTTTTAGATATTGATATTCTATGACTTTTATTTAATCACTGAAACAAGCTTATTTTCAATAAAATTAAAATATATATGTATATGTTAATATGCTTTTTTAACTTTTTTACTCTAACGGTCTTCGGGTCAGATTTGACCATGCTTAGAATTGAGGTGGGTAGTTACATTTGTTTATAAGATCGTATGTCATGGGACATTATTATGTTATACCGACAATGTGACTAATAAATAAACGCCGGTGCGATAAATGTTAGTTGAACAAAGCGTATTCATTAGCTCGCAGTCGTAGAACAATATCGTGCCTGTAAAAATGAGAGACAGTGAAATAGAATCGATGTTACATGCATCAGATAACGAAGAATCTTGTTCTGAAATAGAAGATAATGTCGAAGAAGCTGAACAGTCTGATAGCTCGATCAGTGATAGTGAAGTGAATTCGCCTGTTCAAACAATGTCTTCAAAAGACGGAAGAATAAAATACTCTAAGGAACCAATTCGGCAATCTCACGGAAGAGCATCTAGAGAAAACATTATTAGCTTGATGCCAGGATTGACACGTTACTCTTGCTCAAGGATTACCGCTGAGGAAATATCCAGTTTTCAGTTATTTTTTCCTCCCCCTTTATTACATACTATTTTGAAATATACTAATTTGGAGGGTAAGCGTGTTTTCGCTGACGATTGGAATGATATTGACAGTACTGATTTATTTGCATTTATTGGACTGATATTGCTAGCTGGAGTTTTTCGTTCATGTAACGAAAGCACTGAAAGTTTATGGGATACTGAAAAAGGAAGACCCCTTTTCGCGGCAGTCATGCCAATAAAAACATTCAAGAAATTATCGAGAGTAATAAGGTTTGACAATAGAGAAACGCGATCTGCACGGCGATTAGTGGATAAGTTTACTCCTATTCGAGAGTTGTGGAATCAGTGGGTTGATATATTACCTAAATTGTATAATCCTTCTGAAAATGTCACAGTAGACGAGCAGCTCATCGCATTCAGAGGAAGATGCCCTTTCCGGCAATACATGCCATCAAAACCAGCAAAATATGGTATAAAATTTTGGGTTTTATGTGATTCTGCAACAAGTTACGTTTGGAATATCCAACCATACACGGGTAAAGAAATGGGAAGCGCGCCTGAAAAAAATCAAGGTATGCGTGTTGTCCTTGATTTGACACGGGGCTTGAAAGGACATAACCTTACTGTTGATAATTTTTTCACGTCCTATCAACTTGGACAGAAGTTACTAGAAAACCAGATTACTGTAGTTGGTACTATACGCAAAAATAAACCGGAATTACCACCAGAAATATTGGAAACGAAAAGGAGACCTTTGTATTCATCTTATTTTGCATTTACTGAAAATACTACAGTTGTGTCATACATTCCCAAGAAAAATAAATCGGTAAATCTCCTCAGCACTTTGCATCACGGCCCAGAAGTGAGTGATCGTGCAGATAAAAAGCCTGTAATAATATTAGATTACAATAAATGTAAAGGCGGCGTTGACACAATGGACAAAGTTGTCTCCTGCTACACCTGCAAAAGAAAGACAAATAGATGGCCCCAAGTAGTCTTCAGCAACATGGTCGATATATCAGCATATAATGCATTTGTATTATTCACAGCTGCCAATGATAGATGGATGGAAGGGTGTCTAGCAAAACGACGAATATTTTTGGAAAACCTAGGTAAGCAGTTAGTTACACCATATATAAAATCCAGGAAAACCTTACCAAGGGCACCATTTTCTTTAGAAATTGCGAGAAAGATACGTGAAGCTAGTGAAACTGCATCAACTTCAACTCAACACGAAGAAAACAATGTTGTTACTGCTAAGAAAGCTTTCAAAAGAAATCGTTGTCAACTATGTGTAAAAACTGATAATAAAACATCTTTGATCTGTGTAATTTGTAAAAAGTTTATATGTAAACAACATTCAAATACAACTGTTTTATGTACTCGATGTCATAATAATTAATTTAATCATATTTCTTGTTTTGTTCATTTGATTAAAAGCTAAATTGGTAACTTTAATTATTTTAATAAAGTTTTCAAAATTAAATACTTACTTAGTATTGGTAAAAAAGTAATTCATGAATATTGAATATAATTAAAAATATAAATAGAAATATTTCATAAAAAAAGTTTTTGTCATTTTTATACCCATAATATGCATAAATATAGTACCCGGTCAAATTTGACCCGAGGAACGGTAACGTTAGTAATTTTGAAGCCCTTATCAATATTCTTTAACTACTACTTTAAGTAGCTCGATGGCGTAGTGTATAAGCGCCGCGGCCCGCGATCGTAGTCGTTAAGCAACTTTCGCTAGGGTCGGTCACGGTATGGGTGACCAAAAAATTATTATCTCGAGCTACTCCGTGCTTCGGAAGGCACGTTAAGCCGTTGGTCCTGGCTGCATTTGCAGTCGTCAATACCCTCCAATCCGCATTGGGCCAGCGTGGAGGGTCATGACCCATCCTCCTTAACCATCCATAAGGAAGGCCTGAGCCCCTGCAGGGGGGACGTAAAAGGGCTGTTGGTGATAGACTACTTTAAGTACGACGTACTTTTGATACATTGGCGACGGTTCAATATTGCAGTGTTGTGTTGAAAGCCCACAAAAAGGTTTTGGTTAGTCACCCTAAAACTGAACAGCATGAAAAAGCCGTAGCCTGGGACAGATCAGCTAAGAGATGTAATCTATATCTAAAATATATAAACCGGTTTTGCCGGAAAGTACAAAAATCGCCGAATTGAAAATCTCTGCCTTTATCACCGACCACTGTTCTTTGTTAACAGTAAATCATTTGATTAATATACTTCCTCAGCAGGATCCTTCATCAGAAGCTCTAAAAAACATAAATGTAAATAAAAAATGTGCTTGCTCTTTCAAAACTTTAATTGAAGAGATAGGAAATTATCCATATTCAATAATTATCGACGAGAGTACTGACCTGACGACTCAGAAAGTTTTATGTATTATGCTGCAATTTTTCTCACATAAGACAAAGCAAGTTGTGACAATTTTTTATAGAATAATTAAGATAGTAGAATGCGACGCCAAAAGTGTACATCAATTAACTTAAAAAAGAACGGATTAAAAATTTAAAACATGATCGGAATCGTTGTTGATGGAGCTAATGTTATGGTTCGAAAACATAATTCAGTGTCTGCTTTAATAAAAATAGATCTGCCTGATTTAATTGTTGTAAAATGTGTCAGCCATTATTTGCATTTATGCGCGGTAAAGCGGCTGAATTATAACCACACCAATTAGAATTACTTGTAAGAGAAACCCATAATTGGTTTTAATACAGTCCTAAAAGTTCGGATTACTATAAAACTTTATATGAATCCATGAATGACAATAAAGACCCAAAAAAAATCCAAGGACTTAGCGGAACCCGCTGGCAAAGGTAACTACTGCTCAAGTCAAACCCGATTTAAAACAAATATTGAATCACATTCATCGTATTCATATCTATGGCAACAAAAATGAGTGGCAACAATTGAGTAATAAAACATGGAATAATACTTGTATTACGGCCAATTTTTATTACGAAGTGTATAACGATTTGGACGCAGCTGGATGTAAACGTTTCGAAAATATCACGAAATTCGGATAATAACTATAAAATTATATATTTTTTCTAAAAAAGTCGTTTAATTAAATAAGCTATTGAATAATCACTAATTTCATACCATAGTACTTGCAACTACATTACATATGTGATTGTATATGTTTATATACTGTGTTTTTCTTTACAGACGAGTTCTGATGATTCTTTTTCCGAAAATATAAAGACACTAAAGCAGTCTCTTTACTTAAGGAGTTGAATCAAACATGCAATAGATCTAATAATTTAGCATCTTTAGAAGATATTCCTAAATATTGTTATGAGTGTTATGAGCGTGGCGTAGTGGTGCTCTCAAGAATATAAGGTTGCCACGGAAGATCAGCGTCGGACTGTCTAAGACATCCGGCACATGCTGAGTGGTTGCCTTTTCAGTGTCATAGTATTATATCCTTTTTGTCTTTGTTTTTCTTGTATGTTCACTGAATAAATAAGTTTCTTTCTTTCTTTCTATATCTGATACATTTGTCGAGCTGTCTACAAATCAAAATTATAGCGACCTTAGCCATATAAGTTCCCCTTGCAGTTTCCCTTTCCTGCTTCAGTAAAAGTTAAGTTTAGAAGCAGACTTAAATACTAAAATACAACTTTTAGAATCAAACTGGAAATATATATATAGTCAATATTCCTATATCTGATACATTTGCCGAGCTGTCTACAAATCAAAATTATAGCGACCTTAGCCATATAAGTTCGCCTTGCAGTTTCCCTTTCCTGCTTCAGTGAAAGTTAAGTTTAGAAGCAGACTTAAATATTAAAATACAACTTTTAGAATCAAACTGGAAATATATATATAGTCAATATTCCTTTATCTGATACATTTGTCGAGCTGTCTACAAATCAAAATTATAGCGACCTTAGCCATATAAGTTCGCCTTGCAGTTTCCCTTTCCTGCTTCAGTAAAAGTTAAGTTTAGAAGCAGACTTAAATACTAAAATACAACTTTTAGAATCAAACTGGAAATATATATATAGTCAATATTCTTATATCTGATACATTTGTCGAGCTGTCTACAAATCAAAATTATAGCGACCTTAGCCATATAAGTTCCCCTTGCAGTTTCCCTTTCCTGCTTCAGTAAAAGTTAAGTTTAGAAGCAGACTTAAATACTAAAATACAACTTTTAGAATCAAACTGGAAATATATATATAGTCAATATTCCTATATCTGATACATTTGTCGAGCTGTCTACAAATCAAAATTATAGCGACCTTAGCCATATAAGTTCGCCTTGCAGTTTCCCTTTCCTGCTTCAGTAAAAGTTAAGTTTAGAAGACAGACTTAAAAACTACAGTACAACTTTTAGAATCAAACTGGAAATATATATATATATATATAGTCAAGCTGCGCCAGATTTAAACAAAAAAGAATGGAACAATGTAACTATTGTACCTTTAGCAAAGGCTTTAAAAAATCTAAAAGAACACCAAAATTCAAAATCAAAATAAAAGAAGGGCTTAAAACTGTGTATTATATGGTTTTATTATTGAATAGGCGCAAACCTGGAGAGCTTCAAAGAATTACATTGCATGACTATTTAGAAAGTGAAAATAATGGATCTGATAAGAACGAAGAATTTGATCGTGCACTTACTGCCACTGAACGAATTCTGGTAAAGAAATTTAAGAGAATTGATATTAGGGGCAAACGTAGTCGAGGAGTACCTTTGTTGTACCGTGTTTTGTTTTTATGTTAAAGCGATTCCTGAAGTTAAGAATAGTAATATCAGAAATTGTAATTGAGAGTGTAGTGGCTCCAAATTTGCCAAGTGCTGTGGAAATGGAAACCTTGAATGAGCTTACAGCTGTATTAAAGCCTTTTGAATACGTAACAAGAGAATCATCGGGCCAAAAGTATGTAACAATCTCCAAAATTATAGAATCACTCCAAACTCTGCTATCGTTTAAGCATGTAAGGATGTTTTATTGAATATTTGATATGGGATGATTGAATTAAACGATCATGCAGCCATTGCAACAATTCTCGACCCAAGGTTCAAAAACCTGCATTTCCAAGACCCCTCGGCATGCGGAAGAGCTATTGAAAAACTCAGAACTATGGTTGTCGGACAACTAAGTAGCTCAAGTAAATCAGAAGATTATGTCTCATCTATTGCACCACCTGAATACGATTTTTGGAAACATCATAAGGAGTTAGCACTTGGACACAAAAGGAAAAAGAAATCTCATCAGGGAGATGAAGTTTTTCTGTATTTATCAAATCCAGTAGTTTCTCTTTAAAGCAACCCATTTGCAGAATCGGATGACATTAACTTTGTGTCTCTTTGTCTGTACAAGTATGCACAGCAATATTTAATAGTTGTTGCAACATCAGTTCCTAGCGAGTGCCTTTTTTCCAAAGCCGGTGCAACAATGTCTCAGAAAAGGAACAGATTGTCTCCAAAATACCTTGAACAGTTACTGTTTTTGGGGAATCTTCATGCTGAAGAGTTTATGGTTTAAAGTATGTACCTAAAGCAACTATTTCCAATGAATAAATATTTTTTCTTCTCAATTTTGTTTTAATTATTGTCCGTCAACGTTAATTTTTAGCATCCTCAAAATAAACAGAAAAGTACTCAAAAATATCGATACCAGTAAGTATCGATACTTTAGGAGTATTTGTATAAGTAGTATCGAAAAAAGATTAGAGTACTATCGAAATGAGTAGGTATCGATACTTTGATGGTATCGGAACATCCCTACCACTGACAGGATATCCAGCCCCAAACCGAAGGCCATATCACTACCCAAACTCAGGCCCACCGACAGGGTATTCAGCCCCAAACCAAAGGCCATAATCCTACTAAACCCAATTCCAAGAAGACTGATGCTAAAATATACGAAGTTAATTTAGACACCACAAAAAGACTACTGAACTGTGAAAGTGAACTATTAGCGATAAAGTGATGGGTGTAAAACCGCTACAGTGTGAACGAAAAGTGTGTATGGAAATTTAGACATTTGGAAACCACTAACAAACAATAAGCGGATTTATATCCAATCCGAACCTAACAAACTTTCTATTGATTGTTTAAACTCGAGTTTGTATGAAAGAAATATTTTAGACACAGGTATTGTCAAAATTCCATCATATTGTATTGGATATTGTAAAAGTACTACATTACTTCCTAGATTTGCTTTATATATTACGTCACCTATTAATCATTTTTTAAATTTTAACCTTAGCAACGCGACTTGCTGTAACATATATAAGATTAATAAATTAGTGAATAATTTTTTATTACAGAATATAGATTTAGACGATTTTAATTTAGAAAGCAAATTATTAATCTTTTTCGAATTGGAAAATAATAAAAACACACCAATACCACACATTTTAAAATATGGGACACATTACTCTTTATTTACTATTTTACTTTTAGCTGTATTTCTTATGTACTGTGACTATTTTATTTATAAGAAAATTTGTAAATCCGACGGCAACCCTCTCTTTCAATTTAAGTTTAGATTAAGAAGACCAGCAGCACAGATTCCCGAACAGACAGACAGACAAGACCAAGAAATAGAAATGAACCCTATTGCCCCACTTCGATCAAGGATTTAACGGATACTTTAGATGTAAGTTTCCGAACACTGTAATAATGAGTCAACTATACCTCGAATTTCATAAATGGACTGTATAATCGGTATTTTAATTAATTAAAAGCAACGTAGACTTCCATTGTCAAGCAGCGCCCGCACCTGGTGATAAATACCATTAATATCGGCTATTTCAATTATAGCTGTTGATAATAGAACTGTGTGTGCATTAGCAGGTGGAGCACATAGGACTTGCATGTGTGTATCGCATGCTTGAACTGGGAACGGGTTCGCGGCGGCTGTGGAGGAGGGGACGCACGCAGGCTGCTCCGCTGCGCCCGCACACTTCACAGCGCCGGCGCACTATGGAACCAACCAGCATTTTCCATCTCATAAATGGTTGGGACAAAATTTGTGTTACTGATGCCATTTTGATGAATAATTGGAAGCTATGGATAAAAATTATAAGAATAATTCGAAAAGTATTCGGAACAATGGTCTCTTCAAAAATATTTGGTATATATGCCTGGTATTATACAGAATCAATTTAAACATAAGATTTTATGGAAGTGTGCCATACCACCGTTTATTTTGTCCTAGTTTTCAATATGCAAACTTTTTGTCTTCGATATTCAACATCATTTCTTTTTATTATTCATCTTTCGTGATTTGAAATTTTGACTAATCAAATATACTCTTTATGGATGTCAGTTCGTAAAAAAAATCATCTGTTGTAAACATTTTTATTAATAATGAATGAGTAATTAAAATAGGAATTCTATATTATATAATTCCTATTTTAATTCATCGTGGGAGAGCCACGCTTCGGCATTGTTTCGTCGTGTGAGTGAGGGTACCGGAGGCCCAAACCATCCCTATTTCCTTCCCTCTACCTCTCAACCCTTTTCTTCAAGGCCGGCAGCGCACTTGTAGCCCCTCTGGTGTTGCAGGTGTCCATGGGCGACGGTAATCACTTACCATCAGGTGATGCGTCTGCTCGTATGACCCCTATCCCATAAAAAAAAAATAAAAAAAAAAGTGTATTCTGTTACTTGGACGATTCAAGTTTTTATCAAGAAACCTTAAAAGGTTTATTTTCTTTAACCTGCCATACATAAATCCATTCTCAAGCTAGTCAGCCTTTCAATAAATCGCCCAAGCATCGAACCCATCACATCTAGCGCCGCAACGTGGTTGATAAAATACGCTGACTACACACTTCAAACAAGACCGGACTTCAAACTGCAATAGAAGACAAAAGTGCACACTTAACGACCAACACCTCAAACATCACCAGCCCTTTTACGTCCTACTATCTTGGCTTGACTGAAGTCAAGAGAGAGCTTATTTTCTGTAAAAAAAGCAATAGTAAGTTATAATAGTGTTTTTTTATTGTTTCAGATATTGTTTAACAACGCCGAATACCTTTGTCGACCGTGCTGGATAGGGGTTTTGAACAATGTACGTCAACCACCAAACGTTGTTGCAGAACCTCCTCCTAATGTTGAAGACCAAGACCATCCAGAACAAGCACAAGATGTCGTGATGCAAGAAGTAGCTATGATTGAACTACCTACTTATTCACGGCCTCCTAACACCACGAATTCCTGTAGGTATGTTTTTGAGTGTCGTCGTGTGACTCGGCGGCGTGTTACAGCTGCTGTAAAAGCAAGATTGCTGATGGAGAATAACTATTATGTTCCAGAATCGGCACGAACGTGTCAGATTCATTCGGAATCTGATGATTGGAGTGAATTATTCAATGCACCAAACATAAGTCACAGGTTTACCAGTGAGCAGGTAACTGACATAATTACAACAATAAAGCAAGTTGCAGAAAGAAGAAAAAAATATGACTTTGAAAATCTAGAAGACATAGATGATGACGAGTTATATTATTGGACTGGTCGATCTAAGGAAGCTATTTCTACAATCTTAAATGAAACGCCATCACTCAGAACTTGTAACGAACCGAAAACTGCTCTTGCTATAACGCTTGCGAAGCTAACAACCGGAGAACCGAATACTAGGTTAGCACTGATATTCCACATGAGTCGTAGGAAACTAGAACGATTGATGAAAGAGGCCAGAGATAGCTTGTCTGAAGAATATGTTCCTTGCCATCTTGGATGGGACCCATATTCAGCGAGAGAGACTGCTGCAACGGAACCTAATGATACCAAATGCACTTTTTGGAACCCCTGCACTGATGCACTTTTTGGAAAAAACAATCAACTCATTAGCGTCGCTGATGCGACCTATGTCTATATATTTAAAAGCAGCAACTTCGGATTCCAAATAGAAACATACAGCCCGCATAAGTTCCTCAACTTATTGAAAATATTTATGATTGTATGCAGCGATGGTTACATCATAGATGTAACTGGGCCTCATGGAGCCAAAAACTCCGACTCAACAATCACCAATGAAATGTTGCATAATGAAGAACATCCATTTCATGGTTTTACAATAGTGGAGACATTTTTATTCTCGACCGAGGATTCAGGGACTCGATTAGTGAATTAGAGGCTTATGGCTATGAACCGTACATGCCAGCCACTGTCAGGACCGGAGACTCTCAATTAACCACCACCCAAGCCAATGAGTCAAGAATGGTGACAATGGTGAGATGGGTAGTCGAATGCGTAAATGGCAGGATAAAACGTGATTTTAAGCTATTCAGGCAGGAATATAATCACAACGCAATGCGCCACATGTTTGCAGATTATAGGATAGCTGCTGCTTTAACAAATGCATTTCATGTTCCTGTCATGGATAATGTGCATGCTCCTGCATTTCTTGAAAGAATAGCTGTCAGGAGAGAAATGCCAAACGTATTGGCAGATTTTGTGCAACGTAATCGGCTAAATGGGCAAAGAGTTGCATTTCAAAGTATGACCGCAGAATTACCTGGTCTTGAAATATTTCCAAGGCTCACACAAGATGACCTACTCGTGTTTGCAGTGGGGTGTTACCAATTAAAACTAACCAACAGTTATTACGCCGAGCACGTAAAGGATCACGACGGCGAGTATTCCATAGACCTTTATCGAGATGAAGAACGAGTGACTGCTGATTTAAATGCTGCCGAAGTCGAAGGAGAGAGTCTTTGGCTTTTAAGGGGTAAAATTCAATCCAGACACACCCGGTCACGAAAGTACTACTCTTATATTGTAATAAAAGATAATACCAGCGGCTTAGATGCCATTGAACATTATTATTGTTCATGCAAAGCGGGGAAACGCACTGTGGGATGCTGCGCCCATGTCATGGTGGT